AATAAATGTTCGACACAAAACGGGTCAAAACGGTTAAAAAGGCTAGTTCGAATTTTTTAAGAATAGGGATAAGGGGAGTTGGACTTGGTTATTTCAATTCCAATTTTTACTGAGTGTTAAGGGCTGAAAAATACATATTTTTACCAAAGGAAAACCATTTAACATGCTTCTAACTATTTTAAATATTTTACTCAAAATCTGACCAGAAATCAAATTAAATCATTTAAAATAGCTACAGCTCAAATTTAAATCTCAAATTTTTACCGTAGCAAGATAATCTGGAGAAAAACAACATATTCAAAAATTAGCAAAATCGGACAAGAACTCGATTTTATATGAATTTATTACAAAACAGCCCAGAATTAGTTTTCGAGTTTTGACAAGGCTACAGGCCATATAAAATTCTCAAATTTTAACCACAAGTACTACAATTCCAACATTACAACATATCCAAAAATCAGAATTTTTGGGTAAACACACGATTTATAGTGATTTTAACAAAAACCGGCTGCAGCACGTTTTTTAAAAATTCATAACTAATTCAATACACATCGAAACGACGCGAGGCCAAAGGTGTTGAGTCAAGGACGATCCTAAGTCCAATAATCCATAGCACTTCCACATAAAATACTACTCAAAACTCAGTTCGATAATTTTCAAAGTGACGGCAATCACTTTGATACCCAATATTAACAATACATCCTAATTACACACGAAAGCATTCCGAACGCACGTAATTAATTCGAATATCATTCGATCAGCAACGTAACACACATACGAGTACTAACACATAAACACGAACTAAATAATTAAGTCGAGGGGTTAACTCGGGTACCGTTCTCGAGACGGGGATACGAAGAACGAACAACGGACTAACAAACGAACTCGACGTCTCAACGTGTCTCGCCGGGACAAGAGGGCAGCGACCGAAGGGCTCGATGGAAGGCTGCTGGTCGCCGGAGTGGGTCGACGGGATGTACGGCTTGCTGCGTTTTGGAAGAAGGTGGCGACAATGGCGGCTCGGCGTCCGGAACTAGTCGGCTTCGTTTAACGCTCCGACGGAACACGACGGGACTCGACGGTCACGCTCGACACTCCAACGGAACATGACGGGTCCCGACGGAGGGTGATGATGGTGACCGGATTTCTGCTGGAGGTTGGTAG